CGCTGAACTCTGTTTTCTCCTGCTGCTGCTGCTCCTGCCGCCCGCCGCTCTCTTGCCCCTCGTCTGCCACCGTCGTTACCGAAGCGTCGACGCCGCCATCTTCGGTGGCGTCGTCGGTTGCCATGGTTGCGTCGCTCGCTTCATCGTACGATGTATCGACGCTAGGGGTCGTTGCGGGCACGGCGCTGCTCCCCCTGGCGGCGGGCGGCGGCGTCGGCGTCGTCAGCGGATAATCTTCGTAGCCGATGTCGACAGGTATGCGTCGGTCGACCTCCATCTCCGTCGTCTCGCTAGGGGGCCTCACCTCGTTCAGAATGTCGTCGGTGATGACGTCAGGCTCGGCGTCGTCGTCGATGACATCATCGTCAGTTACGTCGCTCGGCCAGGTTTCGTTGCTGGCGACGACGAATTCCGTCGACGGAGTTTCAACAACCGTAGGCGACGCGTCTTCCGTTTCCGGTTTGTCTTCCTCCGGAAGTGGAGAAACCTGTTTTGTTTCATCTAGGGCGGCTGCTTTGGTCGCGCCTTCTTTTTCGGCAGGGTATGCTTTCGCCTCTACCTCGTTGCCAGTGATCGCGTCTTCTTCTGCGATTTTGTCGTCTTCCTTGTTGGGGGGAAGCGGCAGGGCAACGTCTGCCGTCTCAGTGCTGCCATCTATGAGAATACGGGGTAAAATATATCGTAATTAGTGTTTCGTGTGATCACGTTGTGATTTCTATAGAGTGATTTTTTTTGTGAGGCCAGAGTGCGACTTCATAGAATTGATTAACCTATCGTGTGTGTATCGCACATTTTACAACAAGGCATGTGGATTTTCTGAAGAAGATTTGGAAAGAAATATATTGGAAGAGCGGATTGAAAACAACAATTCTAATCTTCAAAATTTCGCATTTATAATTTATCTCTATCAATTATGAGCTATAATTGTTGTCTAGCTGATGATAATGGTTACCCCACCCGGTGTACGTACCACTTAATTCTCGTTTCGTTCTTTCTGCACGTTTGTTTAAGCTGTGATGCAATGATGAGCCTGATGAGTAAAGAACGGCGACAGCGGCGCATGCCAGCACCAGACACGTCGACAGAACCAGAAACGTTCCCTTACGATGCATTCTATACCTACACGAAAGAAAATGAGCAGATATAGAGATAGAAGATGTGTAAAAAAAAAAAAAAAACCACACATTTTTTCCGCTCAGTATATTAGCGGCACTCGGTTTCAATTGGAGTTAAGCCCACAATAATATGTGAAAAAAAAGGAAATATAAACCTTCAGCTGACCTATCCGGACTTTGGCGAAAATCAACGTGTCCTGGCCCACCAATCGTGTTGCGTTAACAAGTCAACAGCAGCGGCACTACTTCTTTAGCACTGATGTATTGCTCGTTGTACTACCCCATTCAGCACCAAGGCCCCGATCACTACGGCTCCGTAGCTACGCTGCTAAAGGCGCGCATTCACCACCAGAGCTACGCTCATCACGAGGCCCGCACGCTTCCAAAAATTGCCGCAAGCGTGGTGAGCGTGGTTGGAGAGCGTGGGCCAAATTGGGCCCAGCCGGCCGGCAGCGCGATACTACGATCTACACATTACGTCCATACCTACGATCTAAGTGGGTCTTTACCCCGCGATCCTCATTGCGCTGCCAAGCAAGCTTTCAGCACTTTCACTACTAGTTATATATATTTAGTAATAAAGTATTAAGTTAATAAAATAATATGCACGAGTTGGCATGGTATGCATGGCAAGAATATCGTCAGGACACACTAATAAAGGTAAAATCTCTTTAAACCAAAGCAACACAATATTATACACATAATTGGCGCCACAATAGGCACACATATACACCAAATAGCGCACAATAGGTCAGCACATATTATACACATATATGCGCACAATAGCCACACATATACACAAAATAGGCGCACAATAGGCACACATATTATACACATATAGGCGCACAATAGCACACACTATTATACACATATAGGCGCATAATACACACATATACACATAAGCGCCAGCAATAACACACATATTATTATACATATAGCGCAACAGAATAGCACACATATTATACACATATAGGCGCACAGGATAGCACACGAGTATTATACACAATATAGGGCGCAGCAATAGCACACATATTATACATCATATAGCGCAGCAGATAGCAGCACATACTTATAGCACATTATTAGCGGCACAATTGCACACATATTATACAGCATATAGCGCACAAATAGCAACACATATACACATATTAGCGCACACTATGCCACACATATACACATATAGGCGCACAATAGCACAGCATTATTATGGACACATATCAGCCCGCCACATACACACGAATATTTATACACATATACGCGCAGCAATAGCACACATATTATACACCTAAGCGCACAATAGCACAAAACATGCATCTTCGGAACCACGGAATACAGCAGGACGAGAGTCCGGCGCCACGCCACTCGTATTCAAGCAGCCATTGATAAATCAATGATATGAGGTGAAGAAGCCGAAGGCGCTTCGCGCCTAACAACCGTTTCCACCATGATAAATTCCTACGTATATACGGCAGCAACATGTTTACATAAGTTATGTTATAAACATGCTTTCGTTGAATCAGGACGAAAGGCTCTAGCAACCGAGTTGGAAAGACGCATTGATTTGTACTATTTGTAAAAACTTAGAGATTGTAATCGATTTGATTGAATCAATCAGCTCTGTAAAATAGTAAAAGAATCTCTTAACCCCATTCCAAGGCGCAAAACGCCAAACGTCGATTGAACACATACGCTTGCTTTTTCTGTCAGCATGTATATATAATATATATTACAGATAATCCTGGTAACTACAACAATATACAGTGTGTTGTATGTTTAGGCATTTGACAATACACCTGTGTATGTTAGCGAGGTTTCAACAATACACTGTGTATTGTTGAACACCTTCTAACAATTACACTGTGTATATGTAGTAAAGGTACTATGAGCTTTCAACAATACACTGTTTATTGTTTGAAGCATCTTCTAAGCAATACACTTCTTCTTTTTTTTCTTTTTTTAATTAGTTTACTTTTTGATTTGGAAGCTTGAAATTGACATTTATTTGAATGAATTTTATATAGATTTGAAGATAGAATATTATTTTATAGATTTTATTGAATTTATTGATAAAATAAATTTGAATTTAAATACACAGTTGTTGGTACCTACTACAATACACCAGTGTATTGTTAGAAGGTGTTCAACGCAATACACACTGTATTGTTGAAAGTGTATTGTGAGTTACCAGGATTATCTGATATATATCAAGACTGAATAAAAACAAGTTGTTTTTTATTCGTTCCTGATGTATATATAGACGAGTTTAACAATTAATGCAGTTGGACAACTATTATTAACAATGACTTTACG